TAGAGTAATTAATTATCTATATAATAATTTTACACTTACATTTCAATAAATTTCTCTGAATCTTTTAAATACAACTAATTCATGATTTTAGCTGTTTTTCTAAATAATACACTTATTTAAAGTTAACTAAATTTATTAATTTTTATATTTCAGACTTAATTACAATATAAGTAAACAAAGTAACCAATTAATTTATCATCTATTTCTTAATTAATAATTAAAATTTATTTCTATTTTATTATTATATTTTAGAAGTAATCATACTCTTACTAAACAACTTAATTTTATTTGAATTATTACCAAAAAATAAAATTATTTTTCTATAATAAGAATGAGAAATTCATTATGAAATAATTTATTATTAGAATTATCATAAAAATATAAGAAAATAATTCGAAAAACATATTTTAATATGGACATTATAATACTTATAAAATAAATTAATAATAATTTTGATGTTAAATTATCTTCATATTGGAGTTTGTAAAGCTTCTGTCTTAACTTAAAGTTTTAAATCACTTTTAACTTCTTACTAATTTCCTGATTCACCATTTGATCCTACATCTAATTCTTGATGTTCTAATTTTTCATGATGTTTTTTTGCTCCATGATGATGTCCTTGATTAATTGAGTGTTTAATTATTATTAGATCAAGAATAAGGGTAACAGCAAATATAACTAAATTTGCTAGATTGTAAGACCAAGCAAATTTAGTTAAATCACTTTCCAAATTAGTAAAGAAATAGTCACTAACAGGATCTGATACACATCCATCATCATTAACTTATTTAATTATTTTTCTTTTTCCATCTATTAGAGCAAATGATACTATTATTACAATGATTTCTGTAATTTGTAACAGTATTTTGAATCCAATTTCAATTAGAAAAATATAATTATATTATGATTCAGGTCTAGCTATAATTATAAAAAATAATATATTACTTGCCATACAAGACCAAGCAAAGTTGCAAGCAGTCATTGTTCCAACAATATTAAAAATAAGACCAATAACAATAAAATAAGCAATTGTAACTCCTAGTTATACTCTTAATGATATGTAAACATAATGTAAGGTATTTCCTTCTTGTAAAACTTAATCAAATAAATCACCTCTACATTGAGGTGCCCATGGAATAAATGTTTTAGCATGAAGTGTCCAATTATATTTTGTATCAATATTAAAATATGGTAATTTATCAGACAAATAAATTACATTATTGGAAAGATAAAATTATTCTTCATCAATTGAATGTACTATTTAGAAGAGTTAATCAGTATTTTCACATTGCTTTCTTCTAGATAACATTAAAGGATAATCTATTCGATTAGGTGAAATATTTTGATCTAAATTCCTTCTACATACTTTGTCACCTTCAGTTACTCTAAATTCTACAATTGGTAAACTAGATGTATTTTTGATATAATAAAAATAGAATCCTGCTCCCAAATCAAAAATATCTCCTATATTTGTATTATTTTTAGATTTTATATTTTAATAATTTGAATTAGTAGTAAATCCTATTTCTGATATTGGACAACTCACATCTGTTGGAACACAAAAGACATTATCACCTGTACCACAAACTTTGTGATCAGATTAACAATTAGATGAGTTAGATTATAAATCAATTCCAATTTTTCTTCTAGCACACAATACAAAAGCTAATTAAATTGATATATAACATTACGTCTTCCATATGATCCATCGTTCCATGAGTTGAAGATTTTAGGCTATTGTTCGTTCACTGTATTACAATTTTTGGAGAGCAATTCTTAACTGCAAATACGGCCAAGCATAAAAGATTCACTGAAAAACGCATCAATATTATAATCTGTTAATGTAGAGAAATTAAATCCTTTACTACAATCACATCCAATCCTTGTACCTGGCCATTCATATTCATAAAGGGATGAATACTATAATTATGAATAATATCTTACTTCACTTCCAAACTAAGTCTTACAATTTTTATTTGTATAAGTGAATTGAATATCATCAATTACATAAGATTTAACATTGTCAATGAATTATTGATAATCTCCTTCATAAACTGTTTAATCTCTGTATGACAATATACTTAAAGTAAGTACTGTGATACTAACTATAAAGAAATAAGCTTAATAAACTAATCTAATTTTATCAATAGGTTTCTTTTTTAACATTCGTTTTAATCTTCTTGCAGATATCAATTTCTCTTTTTTTTCTCTCTTCTTTCTTTTCTTGATTATATCTCTCTTCATCATTCTTGATTCCTCTTCATTATTCATATCTTCCATTTTAAAGCCATTACTATCTTTCTAAATTTCTTATTAGTTTTCAACATCAAAAACCTATCTATTATCTTGAGCTTATTATAAGAGAAATTATTCTTAATCTGGTTAATCTTGAGGAGGTTCCAAGTTCTTTTCTTAATCTGCCATTTTTTTTAATAATAAATTCGAATTAAAATTCTTGAATAATTGAAAAAGGAAATCATATTACTTTATTTATTTATTTAAAATACTTGCTCATTTCAATCACTTTTTTAATAATATATATAATAGTGTGACTCTTTTAGACCAATAACTTCCAATAATTATTCTAATCGTTATCCTTTTGATCTATCTACAAGTATTCTTATTCCTTTCACTTCAGGATTAAGCTTTATTTTTTTATGCTTAATTTAATTCAACATATTGCTCATCATTATACTAATAATTCCATTATTATATGTAGAACTTATAAAATCATAAAACCATATAATTATCTATATTTATTAATTAATTAATACTCCATTTCTCCAATCACTAAATTCTATGAAATATAATCCTATTAAATAGTCAGTCTAACTTTCTGTTATTATAAATGCATTTTTGTTATTATTTAAACAATATTCAATTTGCAATTATTGTGTTAAATCATTACCTATGATACTTTTTCCTTTCTTTAATAAGTCTTCTAATTCCTTTTTGTTACTTGAAGTCCTTGTTACACAATCCTAACCAAGATTAATAATTCTAATTTAATAATTAATTTTCATTTACTTCACAGGATGAAATACGAAATCATCTTCAAATATAGTCTCCTCTGTTCTAATCATTCCTAATTTCTCATAAACTTTAATGGCATTCTTATTCTCAAATTCAACATATAATTTTGTCCCTGCTGCTTTTTCTTTTGCCGCATATTTCATAAATTCCTTATACATTTACTTATATATTCCCCTCTGTCTATGATCCTTCTTTACATAAACCTAATAATGATTGTATTATTCATATAATTACAGATTGAAACCAGCAAGTTAATCCTGAATATATATTATATTCTTTTGTCATCAAGATCTAACCAAAGATGTGTTGATTTTCGGTATAAATAAAAAAAAATCCAAAATGAGGGTTTTCTAGTAAGTATTCAATTGCCTTTGTCACTTGATTATTATCCAATTATTTCAATTCTGTTTCATATGCTTACTCATGTAATTGATGAACTAATTCATTTTTGTGTTATGCTTGAGCAATTAAAATCTCAGATCCTTGCATATAAAATAATAATTATTAACTTAATATATTCATTTTTAACCTGGATATTCATAAGCTTATGGGTTATCAGTCTTAAATCTAAATAATTAAACCATATTCTTACTTAATAGTATGAATTATTGAAAATGGATCATCTTATCCATTTCTGCTAATCATATGTATCTCTTAACATTAAAATTGAACTTCATGAAATTATGGTTGGAATGCTTTCTTTCTTTATTCAATCTAATTTATTCCGAATTATCCAACAGTTATATGAGGTTGAAATCCATGCTCTGATTTTTTATTTAAATCATCCAATTAAGGATAGACTTTTAAAATTTCTTGATATAACTTTTAGATTCCATCATTTTCAGATTCAGGTTTTAACCACATTACACAATTTTTTCCATGTTGAAAATGGTTAAATTCTCTTAATCGAACTTAAAAAGATGGAAAATCCTCTAATTTACAAATATTATAATTTCTTACTTAAATGATTCTAAAGAACTTAAAATACTTATTCAAATTATGCAGGATCTACAAATGGAAAACATAAATTGACATGAGGCATCCATCTATCATATGCTTTATCATGTTGTTTTCTTAATAGTTATATTTAATCTATACAATGCTTTGGAGGAACTAACACCAAAGCTGTATGAAATACTTTTTTGATTTGTTGATCCATGAAAATTATAATTAATTCTTTAATAATAAGAAATTTTCAATTTAAATGAAAGAGATTTTTTTACAGTATTAAAATTAATCATCTTCCACCTTTCCACCATGATGGCATCAAATGCTTTAATGGTTATTTTCCAAATATATTCTCCTCCTCAGGTGTGAATTACCAAAGTTTATTTGGAACTTCTTCATTTTTTAATTCTCTAAGATCATTAAAGAATGGATGCATCAATGCCATAAAAGGTTTAATTCTCTACTAAGGTTAGTAACTATTATTAATAAATATGATTACGTAACCATCTTTTTTATTAAATCAATGAATTAAGGATCAGGTTTATATTTTAAGAATACTTTAGACCATGGATGTCCTTTGACTTAAGGAAATTTAAAATCTGTATTAGATACATTGAATTCTGCAATATCAGTAGCAACAGGAGTTCCTAAGACCTTCATGATTTCAACTAATTGATCAACAGAACTTTCACCAGGAAATAATGGTTCTAATAAGATTAGTTCAGCAAACACACATCCTAAAGACCAAATATCTATGCTAGTAGAATAATCAGTGGCCCCAAATATCAATTCAGGTGCTCTATAATGTCTGGAACATAAATATGAAGTGTTGATCTATCCTCCTGAAATTATTTTTGCAGATCCAAAATCACAATATTTAACAGTTGTTCCATCAATTAAAATGTTTTGAGGCTTAATGTCTCTATGTGCCATACCTTTACCATGAATAAAGGCTAGTCCCCTTAATAGTTAATATGTTATAATTTATAACTGAATCTAAGTCAATTATTATTTCTGTTTCTTTAGATTTCTTAAATAGTCTGATAAATTTTCTGGTATATATTCCATCACATAATTAATATATACTTCTTCACTATTTTGAATAGAATGTAAATAATTTATACTTTTAACCAACAACATAGAATGCATCTTTTAAAGCAACTATATTTGGATGTTCTCCTAATAATTTTAAGTTTGCTAATTCCCTATTTTTATATTTTTTATCTATGGGAGCTTTTTTTATTGCAACTTTCTCTCCATTCTCTTAAACTTATGCTAAATATCTTTTATAAGATATTAGATTTTACACTATAGCAAATGCACCTTCACCAATTCTTTTATCTACTGCATAACTCTATAGATTATCATTATTTTTCATAATATTTTAATTAATGGAATAAGAAAATAGAATAGAAATCAAATCTTGGTAAGCAGTAGGAGTTTGGAGATGGAATATAAAAGATGATAGATGTGCAATTGATAAATAGAGTCTATTTGGATAATGTTTAGAATGTGAAGCAAATTAAGTTTAAGAGGAAGTATCAAAATTTTTAATAAATACTTTAGTGTAAAATAGTATAAGGATTATGTAATCATGGATTCCATAAACATTGTATTGATAGATGGTTAAAATAGAGTAATACTTGTCCTCTATGTAATAAAGAATGGAGTGATTCTAAAATTTTATGAATTTATTTCAGTTTTAATATAATATTTTTTTAAAATACGTTTTTGTTTATTTATGATCTCTTATTTCCTTTTCTTCCCTTTTCAAATTTTCGCCTTTACTTAACAATAATCATAATAACTCATTTCTAATGATGTAAATTTATATTTAGATATTAATTCTGGAAACATTTTTGATTATGCATTCAAAAAAAAAATAGGAGAAGGTTCCTTTTCTGATGTTTATTTAGGATATAGAGTAGAAGATTAAGTACCTGTTGTTTTAAAACATATCAAAGACAGTTATGAAAATGTTGTTAATCGAGAAATATAAATTCTAAGAACTTTACAAGGATTGCCCAATATTGTTTAAATTATAGATGCTATCAAAGTAAATTAATCATCAAATGGTTATTATGATTAAGTTATTAATTAAATGATACCATAAATGGAAACTAAAAATTAATCTAATTAATAAAAAAATTATGTAGCAACTATCATATTTTCTTATTAAAATACAACTCGTAGTTTAGATGATATCTTTAGAAAAGGAAAATATTCTTTAAATTTAGTAAAAAATTATTTTAAATAAATATTCATTGCTCTTAGTAAGGCTCACGAATTACATATTATGCATAGGGATATAAAAAGTGAAAATATTCTTGTAGATAAAAATGATAATATTTTAGTAATTGATTGGGGTTTAGGTCAATTTTATAATTAAGGAAAATCTTAATCTACTAGAATGGGTACTTTATATTATAAAGCACCAGAATTATTATTGAAATATAAAAAATATGATTACTCAATTGATATTTGGGCTGTTGGATGCATGTTAGCTGATTTTATATTTAAAACTGATCCTTTATTTTCTGGAAAAGATGAAAAGGATTAATTAAGGAAAATAATATCTATGTTAGGAACAAATGATTTATTTGAATATCTGAAAAAATATCATATTAAATTTGTTTAGAATGATATCCCTTAAGTTTAAGATCGAATAAATTTCACTAAATTAGTGAATAAAAAAAACAAAAAATTTGTTACCAATGAAGGTATTGATCTATTAGATAAAATCTTTGTTTATGATCATGTATTTAATTAATCTAATTTATATAGAAATTAAGAATAAATGCAAGTTAAGCATTAGAACATGCATTCTTCTTATGATTTAATTTATTATATATTATTTTTAATGTATATATATATATTTTAATTAATAAAACGTGTTGAATAATTAAATTAATAGATGAGTTAAGTATCTCAAAGATAAAGAAGTCCATCTCCCTAATCTCCAGAGAAGATTGCCTAAAGAGAGAAAGCAGCTTAAGCTATGAAAAGACGTAATTAAACATAGCCAAGCTTTTTCGAAAAATATGCTTATCATTTGGTTATAGGAGCATTTGGATTTGTTTGTGTCTATGCTTTATTCTCCATTTTAACACGTTCAAGCAAGAAACTAACAACTGCTCCTGTAATAGATGAAGAAGAAATAGCTGCTCACAATTCATTAGGATCTTATCTCTAAGGTCCAAATGATTTCTTTAAAGATTGGAAATTTAGTGATGCCAAATTCATTTTCAACAATCATTTGACATTTAAAGGAAAAATTTAATAATGCCCTGAAAGTGGTGTTATAATTCCAGAGAGCTATAATTTTAGAGATGCTTAACCAGAATGTGCATAACCAATATATTTTTAAGGTATTAATAATATTAATATTTAATAGGAAATTGTTCATCAAGTTATTCAATTGCTGCAGTATCAGCTACAAGTGATAGATTATGTAAATCTAAAAATGGAGAATTCTAAGATTAATTATCACCATAATCACCAATTTCATGTGATGATAAAAACTATAAATGTGGAGGAGGTAGTGTAACAAGAGTTTTGGAAGTTGGTAAGAAATAAGGATTTGTATCAACATCATGTTTACCATATAGTGGAACAGAAGATGCAAAAAATAATTGTGATGCTCTTTTCTCAAATTGTGAAAAATATAAAATTCATGATTATTGTGTTGTTTCAAGTGAAGAAAATATCAAAAGAGAAATATTGAATAATGGTCCAGTTGTAGCTGTAATCTAAGTATTTAAAGATTTTCTTGTTTATAAAGGAGGAATCTATGAAGTTGTAGAAGGAAGTTCAAAGTATTCTATTTATTATATAATTTAGATTCTAATTTGGACATGCAGTTAAAGTTATTGGTTGGGGTAAATAAGATGGAGTTAATTATTGGATAATTGAAAATTCATGGGGAGATACTTGGGGATTGAAAGGTTTAGCCTATATTGCAGTTGGTATTATAAATATTTAATATCCTTCTAGGTCAAAACTAATTATAATTAGAAGCATATTCAGTGGCACCTATTGTAGCTGCTTCAACCGAAAAAATTGGTGAATGAGTATAACATATTGTTTACATTATTGTTAATTTTTTATATAATAAAATTTGTTATATGATTTAAAATTTATATTAAAAATGTCAATTTTATTATCATGATAATTCTTTTTTTAGAATTTCATATGCTAAATTACAAATTTATGTGAACATTAATGCCATGCTCTATAAGGTTTCACCTGGTTATAATAATTTACGAACCTCTACTGATTTATCTAATTAGAATATTATAGATTTATTACTATTTTATTATAATTATGCACTTTAATTCAATACTATTTATAAAATACCAAAGGCTAAAGGCAATGTAAATATTGGTAATCCACTAGTCATATCTACTGATTAGTGAAAAGAATGATGTTGTTTAATATTGCCAATTAATAATGCTTCTTATGTTTTTGCTACATAACCAATAACTCCTATATCTGAACTATATTCAGCTGTATGCATATCATCTTTATATGTATAAATGATCCCTTAACTATAAAAGAAAAATCTACTACTGGCCACACCAAATAGTGTTTCAGCATGACTTTCTATTGATTTTTACAATTTATATTTAGATTTCTATTTTGATAATTCTGTAAATGCTTCAAATAAAAGATTTTTATATCTCAATTAATAATTAATGAGTTTGAATTATAATACCTTATCTATTATAGCTAATAATAATTATGAAATCAATAATCCAAGATATTTAGCATCTTATTTTTTATTATTTAGATTTTCTAATGATATAATTCCAATCAATCTACTATCAGTTAGTAATGGTATAAGATAACAATCTTTTGCAAATTTAGCAGTATTTATATTTCTATAAACAAATGCTTATTATTTATAAATTGGTTAAGATGATTTAACTACATTTAAAAATTCATCTGTATCAATATATGCATTAACTAATTCATTTTTTTAATTATAAGTATAAAATGTGGCTGTCTATTAATCTATTAACCACAATTAAATTAATTCACAATTAAATAATTATGAATCAGAACTCAATCTTTGCATTATTATTTCAATTTAATCAATTTTCAATAATTGTTTAATTAAATTAATTAAACTATTTACACTTTCTCCTAAATTCTTATACTAAACAAACAAATCCATAAATATACTAATTTAATCCACTTAATGTTATTAATCCATTTAAAATAGTTAATCAATAGCTTATTTAATACCACAATCTAATAAATCTTGTACTAAATTCTTTTGTCTTAATTTCAAATGATTTAATTTAAAATCTAATTTATTAGGCAAGGTTGCTTATTAAAAGATATCTTAGATCTCATCATCTGGATCATTAGATTCTACTATAGTCTTTTAACCAATAGTGTTTCCATTTAAATCATAAGCTGAATATCCTAATAATTTTAATTATTTCTCTAATAACATATTTCTCTTTTATAATTTTTGATTTTTTTCTTTTAAATCTTAAACAGCTTATTCTAATTTTGAAACTTCTTAAGATTTTTAAAATGCCTTTCTCTTATTTGCTTCATTCTCTTTCAACATGTCTTCAATAATATTTCTTAATGAGTCTTTATCCTAAAATAATATTAAGAATACTTACCTTTTTATAATCACTGCCACTTAAAACTTCCAATCTTTATTCCAATGTAAAAACTCTTCTTTAATTTTATTGATTTTAACTAGCTTCTTTTCTTAATGTTTTCTTATAAATTTAAGTTTCCTCATTTGTATGTTATAAATGTTATTTTATAGATTGCATATTTTTTTCAGTAAATTCATTCTACTTTTGTACTATCTCAAATTAGTTTTGCAATTTTGCATACTTTAATTTCATGTTTTAAAGATCTCTATATAATTTATTTGAATCTAATTCTGTAACTTAAGCTTATTACAATGATTCTTATAAAGATTAAATTATTTTTTTTAGATTAAATAGATCTGCTTCTTTAAGTATTTTCAATTAATCAACTAATGCATCTGCTTATTACAATCGTTATTAACAAAGATGTAAATGTGTTTATTATATCCTATAGATATCATTCATTGAATTTGAATAGTTAATAAACTCACTGATAATAATACTATCAACCTTATCTTTAAATGAATTAATCAAATCATCTAAATAACCATGCATAAAATTTTATCCCTAAGGCTTTCTTGACTTTACTTATCTAATTTAAAGGTATTTCCTCTATAACGAATCTAATTATGCCTCTTTCTATTGTAATAGACTATGCAAAGATTATGTGCTTGACCCTAATCATCATACTTACTTATCAATATTAGAATCTGATTCATAATACATTTTACTAGTATGAATTGGTCTTTAATCTACTCTTGCACTTTGTTTTCTCATTGAAGGTGGAACACTTATCAAATCATAATAATTGTTTGGCTATATTTCTGAATTTTGTGTTTACATATAAATTTGGGTTATAAAAATTATTATTCTTTATATAAGAACAATTATACTAATAAAAATTAATCTTATCAATAGTTCTATTGTAAATCATTCTTTTTTATATATTTTCAACTTCTAAATTGTCCAAATATTAAAATTTTATATCTTTAATCAAAATATACTTGTATATCTAGTTTATTTTATTTTGACTTTAAGATAATACTTTAAAATATATTCTTGACTAAAAATTAGAATTCATTATATAAATACCTTTAAAAAAAGATAAAGAATTATAAATGATTATAAATATTTTTAATTGAAAAACGAAATACAAAAAATGTTTATTTGTGTTTAATTCTAGAAATTTAGATAGGTATAATAATAGTTAATAATTTACTTTATTTAGGTATAATCTTAACTTATACCAAAAATAATCTATATAGGCAATATTGCAATTTAGTGAATGCATTCATATTTCGTTTAGCCATAAATATTATCTTAGAAGAATTTAGAATATTTAATTATAACAATTAAATGGTATTATGATCAAAATAAGACTCTTAAATATAAGGTATTTTTAATCAACATTTTCTTGATTTTTATTTTTAATGAATTATTGACATAATCATATTAATTAAATTTATAATGATTAGAATATAAAAATGTACAGGAGATGAAGAAATTGAATTAGAATAAGATATAAACATCTGGTTTGAAAGAATGTATACTGAACTAAGTGCTAAATAATAAGAAACTAAATCAAGAATTGACAAATATAATATAGAGATTAAACCAAAAACTAAAAATCATAAAATTTCTTTTAGAGATGAAATCAATCCATAAGCTGGTTTAGTGGATATATATGTTGTAGTAAATTGGAAAACATATAATATTAAAGAAAGAGATCCCATAGATGATTGCTTTTGCCAAATCTCATGAATCTTATATATATATATATAACAATCATAGTGATACCTTATTAAGTATATACTATTTATTTTTAATTATAAGGTTTTTCAACATTTTTAAGTTATTTCAGTTTTACTTAATTTATCAGTATTATATTAAAATATTAATTTATTTGAAAAAGATTCTGAAAAATATAGTAAATTTTCTCATCTAAACAAATGGAATTATAAATTATATTATTACATTAGATATTAAAATACATAAAATTATTTCTCGATTATAANGAACACTTATCAAATCATAATAATTGTTTGGCTATATTTCTGAATTTTGTGTTTACATATAAATTTGGGTTATAAAAATTATTATTCTTTATATAAGAACAATTATACTAATAAAAATTAATCTTATCAATAGTTCTATTGTAAATCATTCTTTTTTATATATTTTCAACTTCTAAATTGTCCAAATATTAAAATTTTATATCTTTAATCAAAATATACTTGTATATCTAGTTTATTTTATTTTGACTTTAAGATAATACTTTAAAATATATTCTTGACTAAAAATTAGAATTCATTATATAAATACCTTTAAAAAAAGATAAAGAATTATAAATGATTATAAATATTTTTAATTGAAAAACGAAATACAAAAAATGTTTATTTGTGTTTAATTCTAGAAATTTAGATAGGTATAATAATAGTTAATAATTTACTTTATTTAGGTATAATCTTAACTTATACCAAAAATAATCTATATAGGCAATATTGCAATTTAGTGAATGCATTCATATTTCGTTTAGCCATAAATATTATCTTAGAAGAATTTAGAATATTTAATTATAACAATTAAATGGTATTATGATCAAAATAAGACTCTTAAATATAAGGTATTTTTAATCAACATTTTCTTGATTTTTATTTTTAATGAATTATTGACATAATCATATTAATTAAATTTATAATGATTAGAATATAAAAATGTACAGGAGATGAAGAAATTGAATTAGAATAAGATATAAACATCTGGTTTGAAAGAATGTATACTGAACTAAGTGCTAAATAATAAGAAACTAAATCAAGAATTGACAAATATAATATAGAGATTAAACCAAAAACTAAAAATCATAAAATTTCTTTTAGAGATGAAATCAATCCATAAGCTGGTTTAGTGGATATATATGTTGTAGTAAATTGGAAAACATATAATATTAAAGAAAGAGATCCCATAGATGATTGCTTTTGCCAAATCTCATGAATCTTATATATATATATATAACAATCATAGTGATACCTTATTAAGTATATACTATTTATTTTTAATTATAAGGTTTTTCAACATTTTTAAGTTATTTCAGTTTTACTTAATTTATCAGTATTATATTAAAATATTAATTTATTTGAAAAAGATTCTGAAAAATATAGTAAATTTTCTCATCTAAACAAATGGAATTATAAATTATATTATTACATTAGATATTAAAATACATAAAATTATTTCTCGATTATAATTATTTATTTTATAAATAATTCATTGAAAGTTTCTTCTTCATTACTACTATCTTTTTATTAATTTATTCTGGCTTTTCAATTATATACAATTATAATTTTTAAATCTGAAGTTTTTCTATAAGACAACATAAATTTAACAAATAGTTAATTATTCTCTCTTTTATTTTTAATTAGCAATTATAAGGGTTTCAATTTGAGATAGCTGATCTCCTCATGGATTTATGATTAATTTATCAATTTTTACGTTTTCTCTTTGAGCATCAATCAGAGATTTGATTTTAACATTAAACAGAATTTCTATCCTTTTTAGGTAGTAATTTCATGATATCTTTTCATAATAAATCAATTTTTAACAACAAAAATATAAATCAATGAAAAAATTTATTTTAATTTTTAAATTTCTACATTTCTTTAATTTCTTTATCTACAAAGCTTTCTCTTCCATTTTTAATTTTTATTTATCCCTAATCTTATTAATTTTAAGGTATCCAAGTTTTGTTTACTCTATCATTTCTAGTTATCTATTTTTCATTTTATTAAGATTATTATAATTTTAATTTTTACTCTTCAGCTTTTCTTATTTTTTCTAATTTTATGTGCTTTTCTTATTTATTTTTGTATAAACATCTAAATATTTTCATTATCTTTTCTCCAAACTTATCTGATTACTCTTATTAATTTTCACAATAAAATTCACAACATTCCTTATAATTTTTATCAACTTTTGATAATTCTTCTTTTAATTTTATAAAATCTTATTCAATTTCAGTTAAAATAGGTTGAAATTATATTGCTACAAGATCATTTGGATTATCAGATGCAGACTCAATAGATTATACAATTAAATTTTGACCTTTTTTAATTTCATTTAAGCTTTATTGAAGTTATGATAAAGATATCTTTTCAATAATTTCAAATTAATTAATCACTATAGTATAGAATATATAAATTACTTTATTAATTTATTACATCTTTTTTTAAAATCTATTCTGATTTTTCAATTACATAATATAAAAGATTTTATTAATTATCAATTGTTTTCAAATCATTACACTTTTCAATAGCTTCTAATTTAAATGCTGCAATGTTTCCTTTAGGTGTCTTTGCTAACTATTAAATTTTATATTACAATTAAGAAAGTTTCCCAATCTTAACACAATCAATATAATAATCTATAATTCTTAAGAATTCTTCAAATTTGTAAAAGCTTCAGAAAGTTACACTGCCTATTTTAGAAATGTTGATTTATTTTCATGATAATTATACATAAAATGCAATGCTTTAATTCTAAATTGAAAACCATTGACTTTACGTAATGAATCTATAAATAATTCAGATTAACCTAATAATGATTTATCTCCTGTAAAATCATTCAATAAATCAATTTCCTCTTAGGAAGGACAAATTGCAATTAAAGAGTTTATTAAATTTTCAGTTAATACTTCTAGATTTAATGAAAGTAAAGAATCAGAAAATTAATTAACATTTAAACGTAATTTACTTAAAATAATTTCTATATTTTGAGATCTTTCTGGTTATAATAACTTAACTTTTTATTTTTTAACATTAACATCAGTTTAATTATCTATTTATTTCTACACTTCATTAGGTTTGCAAAAATTCATTTCTAAAAATTAAGTATCTAAAGTAATATCTTCATTTTAAATTTTTTCAAAAATTGTTTTGAAAGCTTTAGAATCTGGAATAATTGTCCAAAAAAGTGGTTTCATTGGTTTGGATGGAATAGGTTATTATTTTCTAATTAATTGTTAAGGTTATTAATTATTAATTTTGAGAGGAGGAGGCGGTGGTGGTGGTGAACCAGCTGTTTAAATAAGTGGAGGAGGAGGCGGAGGTGGAGGTGGAGGAAGATTTGTTCCAGTTGTTTAATTATGTGAAGGTGGTGGTGGTGGTGGTGGCGGAGGTGGAGATTAAATTTTAGTAGTTATATTAGATGAAATTTGTGTTAATTATTATTATTAAGAATCTATATTATTTTTAGGAGGTGAATCTTGTTATTGTTTAATTGAATTATTAGATTAATTTAATTAAACTTAAGGGGATTTTGAATCGTTTTATGCTTGAGTTTTATAATTCTATATTTCTTTTTAGAGTTAATTTATTTAATTTTATAATTATTTAATTGTCTATATGTTTTCTTCGTTTAATTTATAATTTGAAAGTTATAATTCTTATAATTTTAAGTTATTTTGTTTTGTTTATTAATCTAATTGATTTCTTAATTCATTAATTATTTCTTTTGCTTCTTTGTATTTACTTTTATAATTTTTTTATTCTAAATTTTAATCATCTTGTTCAGATTGACTATTCTTAGGTGTTTTAGAAAGTATTTAATTAGAAGAGCTAATATCCTTTTCTCCAATAACAGCATAATGTTATGTAGTCTCATTTTCTAAGAAAAACTAATCCACCTCATCCTCCTTTAAAGAGAGTAAACTTATATTTTAGATTGCATCAATCCATTCAATAACTGATTATTTAATGGCTTTAAATACATGTTCCTAACCCTCTTCATAATAATAATATTAATCTTATAAAAAATTTAGATCCTAAATATTTTGTGAAGAACAGTAATCACTTTCATAATTGATTTTATCATCATAAGTTGAATCTATAAAAGAAGCAAATTGTTTTGTTAATCTTGGATCATCTTAATTAAAAGAAATTAATGGATGTTCAAATGTATTAAGTATATTTCTAACTGATTCATAAGTACAATCTTCTTTTTTGTATAGATTCAATTTAATTCTAAGTTTAATCTATTTAAAAACTTCTTCTAACTATTTATCATTTACTTTTGTAGTGTTAAGTTCTGTTGCAACTTATAATTAATTTTTATCATCTAATGAATATAAATATCGAAATAGAAACTTAATAATTTAATAAATCATTATTAGATTTTTAGTATAATACATTGTTCTAATAAATATTTAAAATCTAATTTTATAATTATTTTTGATTACTTATTTTAGAATGCATATAGATTCTATAAATTTTCAAAAGCATCTTAAATATTTTGATAATTATTATCTTTCCAACTTAATCCGTTTTATCCAGATATAATTTTAAAAACTAAACCAGTTACTTTAGGTTCAACTGGGTGGAAATTTTGAATTATTGATTTGAAACATTTAGATTCATAAAATAAGGACTTATGATTAATATTTTGGGTATTTAATATAATTTAAAATAGTTCTAATATTCTAATTTGATCTCTAAAATTATTTGTAATTCTTGATGTTTCTTCTAAAAGTATTAATCTATCTGTTAAATAGGATATAAAATTCATATTTTTAAGTAATTCAACTTTTTGATCAATACAACTTGAATTTGAAAGACTTTTACTAATACCTATAATAACATGATTAAATATTTTACTGCTTATATCTACATCATTATAATCTTCAAATAATCTATTTATACTTTTTTTTAATTAATCTATAAAGATTTGATTAGTCTAGTATTCTTATCTTTTCTACAAATTTATTTTTTCCATTATTTAATCATGAATATGGCATATACGAAATTTATATTTGGATTCAACTGTCTACAAGAGTTTAATATCTGAATCTTCCAAAATAACCTTATAAATATTATTGAGATAAACATCAGATATCCATTAATTATATTTTAACAAAATATCCTCTCTTTTAGGTGTCTTTGGAAATTTTTTGGCTCCTTAAAGATCATTGATTTGTATTTCAAAAAGTAGTCCACTTTTAGTTTTATAAGAAATAGTATCTCTTCCTTATAATTTATTACCCATAATTAGATATTAATATTAAACTTTATAAGAGAAATATATAATTATCAAGTATTTAGTTTAATCACATTCCTAATTTTCCTAAATAATTTTAAAAGTCAGTATCTAAATAAATTAATATGTAATTACATTATCCAGCACTTAAAACTAAACGATAGAGGGATCCATCAATTAATGTAATCAAAAAAATAATGCCTTCATTTTCAAATTCTAATTAAATTATATTTTTAATACAATATGAAAAATTGATTATTCCTATTTTTTATATATTTTGATATATATGAAAAATAAGTGGATACTATTCTGCTAAACTAGATACATCTTGAATTAATAGAATTTCTCCTTTGAGAGTAGATATAAGTAGATGAGATTCTTAATAAAAAATAAATTATGTTATTTAACCAATATTATTATTGACATATCTTCTAATAATGAAACCATTTACTCTAAAATTTAATATTTTAAAATTTAATACCTAGTAACAATAATCTCACTATTAGTAGTTAATAATGCTATAAGTCCATTTCCATTTGATATAACATTCCAAATCTTCTCTCCAAAATTTAAATTGAATTTTATTTCATTTAAAAATAAACCTGAAATAACAGAATGTATTTATAACTTTCCTGATTTATCAAGACTTATTACAAGTTCCATATCATCATCAATAGTCAAACATTTAATAGATTTATCATGTCCATAAAGAATGTATTTTGGAGATGTACCAAAAGAAATTGTCTTTTCATTTGATTATTAAACTTTCCAAACTGTTACTCTATTATCTTTAGCACCTAAACATAAAACTTTTAATTTTGATGAATAACTAAGACATGTAACTCTTCTTCTATGAAGTTTGATTTTATGACAAATCTGAGAATTCTAAGTTTTATCTTAATGTAGATCATAGATGTATACAGCACCACTCAAATATCCAGCTACAAATAGAAAATGATCATCAAATTAAAATTATTAGCCAGTTATATGAATAGGTTTAATATTTTTGTAATTATCATGTGTTTATTGTTAATCTTTTAACATATCACATTTTTCTAAATGTAATTTTTCAATATCTTATATTGAAAACAATTATGATGACAATAACTTTTCCTCACTTTCCTTTTTTTCTAAACTAGCATTATATCTAAATTATAATATATTCTATATTACTTTAATTTATAAACTGAACAATTATTCATTAAAACATAAAAATTATCAATTTCTTTATAAGTTTTTAATATAAGTTTTTTATCAAATTTCATTATTCGTTTAGAATTAATAAGTTTCTTATCTGTTAATATTTTGACTAAATTTGAGGGAAAATATAAATTTTATTCCAATTTTTATTTTTATGGATGAGGTTTTATAAATAATTAAAAAGGAACTTAACCAAATGATTAAATTTAAGTTAAATATCCCATTTTATCTTAGTATGGTAATTTATCTAAGGATTACCAACAACTTTCATATGTCAACCAATGATATAAATTATCTTTCTTTTTTGCTTCTTCTCCTTAAGAATATGGTCCAAATATTAAATTAATCCAATTATGTAATTTTTCACTTACAAAATATGATTCAAGTGCTTTTCTATTAATTTCTATAAAATCTTCACAACTCTCTGCCCATGGTGGTAATACAACATCATCAACCATTTCCTAATTTTATCTTATACCAAATTATATTTTATTTATATTCTTCAAAAATTCAGGAAAATAAAAATATTCAGGTATTAATTCTCTAAAATCTTAATGATCATTTTAACAAGATTCCCATGTATTAGGTATTGAAAAAAATATACGATCTGCTTAATCTAATTTACCATCCTATAAATCACATTAAAGAGAAGTAAATGGTTCAATTCTTACTAAAGTATTTATTATTTAAGCTGCTACACTATAATGAGAACCAAATAAAAAATATTCCATTTAAGTCTATTTTAAAGATTCTGCTCTTATTTTACTATTTTCTAATCTTTCTTTATTTTGACTACTTATCATTTTGTCTAAATCTCTATATTATTCTCTATTATTCTAATTAATATTTAAATATAATATATACTAAATCTATTTTTTTACTAGTATAATCACTAATAACCCAAGGGAAAATAGGATATTAATTTAAATCATTGAATGATCTACCAGAATATTTATTTATTAACATCAGATATTCAAAATTTGTTATTTTACCTTTAAGCCATTTCTTTGTATAATTCTTAGCTTAAAATTCTAATATAAAATAAATTGCAAACTTTACCTGCTCTTCTATCTATTACTATACTAATATTATAATTTTATTTAAAACAATTTAAAAATTAATTTCTTTTTTCAGTATCATATAAAACAAAGAAATATGATTTTTTATTTTTACAAAATATTTCTATTGCTATTTCTTTATGAGAATAACGACGAGTTTAAATTTCAACAATTTAAGTTGTATTCAATGTTTTTGTTAGTTTAACCTTTCTCAAATTGAATGACTAAATATAAATATTTATATACAATTGTTCCATATGTATAGAATTCTTATTCTGGACGTTCCTTAGCATCACTCTAAAATTGTAACACCTTACCTTTTTCTAATATTTTTAATTCTCCAAAGACTTGCATCTTAACTCTTATCCATTCACACTGAAATATAGTCATATCATTTTATATAGATGATCTTTCCTCAAGAACAAACTCTATATTTTTGTCACTTTATATCTCTTATATATTTTGATTGAATTAATTTTATTGAATGTGTTTCTTAGGAGAAGTATTACAAGTGTAATTTCTTGAAGTCTTTCTTCCTACAAATTATGATTTTACTCTAGTATCTTCAATGTATTTATTTGAAGAAACCTTCTCAGTAGAAGATTTAAAAGTATGTTTTTCTATTGATATCATATCCTAAAATGCAACATTCTTTATATCTGAATCATTCTATTTAATATAATTTATTTCATCAATTTAATTTATAGTCTATATCTAGGCTGATTAAATTTGATTTTATTTGTTTTAATCACTAAAATCCATATTGAATTATGAAACTATTGGATAATTCTATGTACTTATTATTGAATTAACTATAGATCCACCCATATCCAATAAAAAATTTTATTTTTTTTCAACAGGAGATTCTCCTTAAGATAACTAAGAACTATTTGATTTTAATAAATTCAGATGAAACTATTGACAATTTAAATAATCATCTCTACATTTTCTCATATCTTTTACCAAAAAGTATTATCTAAACAAATTATCAAAATAATTAATCCTTCTAAACACTCCTTAATTTCTTCCTGTTCCATTTTGTAATGTAACCTATAATGTTTTTAATCTACTTGATCTCCTTTCAAAATTTTCCAAATTAAAATATGTTTGTGTGGATATTTAGATTATAAATAGTATTATTTCAATATTGTCTAAACTTAAAAATACTTCAGCTAATCCTGCATCTTCTATTACATTAACTCCTTAATAAAACACCTTAACTATTTAATTGGATTCATGCACCATCTTATGAGAAACCTATTTCTTTATCATATTCATTAAAAAATTTTACTCTTATATTGTTTAGTACTTTGTTACTTTAATTGCATCATTAATCTCAACAAGAGAGAAACAAGTTTTGAATTTCTCAATATCCAAATATTACATTTCCCTACCTAATAATAATATAATTTATGTATACTTTCAATTTCTTCATTTCCTACTTGTAATATTTCTTTTTCAATAATATCTATTAAATTATTTTAATTTCTTTGAAATATTGCATCAATCTATTTTAAATATAAAATCTTTTCTAAAATAATAAAATTATTGATGATGCCTTAGAATGTGTTTTAGAACTATTAGTTTATATAATAAGTTCCTATATTTAATGTAATATGATATTTATCAGAATATTTCTTAACATATTCTGTTATAAAAGATTTAATTTAAAAGTTCTTTTTGGGTTCATCTTAAATTTTAATTGAAAAAGTGTGTTTAGGTTTATCTTCAAACATAATTGCCAATAATATCAATTCTTCTTTAGATTTTTAAGTGAAATTTAAATTAATATCAAATGGCTTTTATTCAAAATTTAATATAGTTATTTTGAGTTAATTCTCTAATGGATTAATTTTATAATTTTCTTAATTGAAAGTTGGTCTTAATAGTGCAACTTTAATTAAATCAATTTATTAAAGATTTTGTTTTTGACCTGATTAATTATTACCACTTTAAGATTCCAACATACCACTCATATTAAATATCACTTATTCTTCTTTATATACTTCATCTTTGTGTTTTGCATTAGAATTAATAAAATAAAAACTTTCCTTCTTAAATTCAATTAAAATAGTAAAGGATTTCCATTTTTTAGTACATAAATCTTAATAATTCTTTATAACAATCCCACTATCCTTTCCTAAAAATTAAAATTATTTTTTTCCTTTGATTTCCTTACTTATATTAGAAAAGGTTTCTAAGGTTGCACCAACATATTAAGAAAAATTAGATTGCCTAAAGACTTATTTTTTTTAATAATCTTTAGGAGCATTTTGGATCATTTTTTAAATTTAATCATTTTTAATAAAAGATAAAGATCTTTTTAAGATATCTTCCATTGATTATTATAATTTTTTATTTCTCTAATTTCTCATACATTATAAGAAATTCTAATATATTAAAAATAAATTACAGATAAGCGAATACATTCTCTGAATACTAATTAATTATATTCATTAAATGATAAAAGTACACCTAGAAATTAAAGACATTTTTATTTTAAGAATTCTGATGGATGACTATTAAAAATAAATACTTCAACTAAAACCTATTATAAATATATAATATTAAAATACCTTTAAACAAAATTCATTTTATATTATAATTTCTCCATATTATTCTAGATTATCAGATATATTTTTTAATTTGAGAAATCGACTAATCATAGATACTGAACAATCTTATAAGAGTTCTATTGTTTCTTTCATTTAATCTTCTGAAAAAACATATAATTTTTATTCTAGAAATTAAACAAATTCATCAGCAAATTCAACTTAAGTTAATTTTAATCCTTCTGTTAACAACCATTCTAATTTAATAAATTCTTTTAAAATGTATATAAAATTAGTTGTATTCTAAATTCCTGATATTAATTTAACAATCATTGAATAATAATTATTTACTTAAAAGAATTCTTAAAAACTTTTTTTAATTTTATATTTTTTTAATTTCAAACAAGAATTATGATCTTATGATTATGAAAATATATCTTCCATATTTACAGGAGCATTTTCAAGACAAAGATATTAACAAATTTATAATAATGTATGAAATTTTTATGGATGAACTATTTTCTTTTCACTTTCCATAGCCAAAATAGACAAAAAAAAATTATTTCTTGTTCCTAATTATTAATCTTCATTTTCCAAAAAAATAGATACAATTTATTATAAAATTTTTACATAAAATGGATTTTCAGGTGACCATCTTGACCAAATCATTTAAAATATTTTCTATTTCATTGATGAATTCAATAATTAAACTTATGTTAATACTTTTTGTAAAGTCTTTATAACAACTTCATCATCCTTTAAAATTGGATCTACTAAAAATTCTACAGATGATTTAATAAGATTTTGCATTAATTACATTTGTTTCACCTATTATTAATCAAGTGGATAAAGAACATCTATAAAAGGTATTAAAGTATCTGCAGATATAATATATTTCTTTGTATTTTATTGATCATGTAAAATTAAATAAACACAAGCACAATCTTTAATTTTATTAGAGACTTATTTTTAAATAGAGTTTATTGGATTTAATTATTTTTTCAAATTTTTTATATATTGTTACCAAAATTCAATTTTATCATCAAACATCTTTTCATTAGTTTCCTATTCAAGTTAATGCCAAAGAAAATGAAAGATTTATATTAATTCTTCAAAGACTGATTCACAAAAATTTGTATCTTCAATAAAACCTAAATATTAAATTGAAGCTTAAATATATTATTAATAGAATTACATAAAATTTGAAATAGCATAGGAATATAATCAGAATCATAATGAATTTAAGTAAAAGATAATTTTAAGTATTCTTCTAAGTATAAACGAATTTACTGAATAACAACATGATTTTTAGATTATAACCATATTCTTATAGACTATAGAATTAAAGCAGTTGATTAAGATAATTACTTTAAATTGGAGAATACTTATTTAGATATTTAGTAATTTCTTTCTTCATTAAGAGTGAATATATATCTAATTATCTATTTTGTTATATGTAATTAATCATCTTTATTGTCAATAAATAATCTCATTAATTCAATTAAATATTCAGTATCATGTTATCTAATATTTTTTATTTTTTCTTGTGGCAATTTTGATTAAAGTTAATCAGTTAAGAGCATTTAATTTATACAAATTGCTATTAAAGATTAACCATCAATATGATTCTATAAAAAAGTGTCTTTTATTAGATCCATTAGAGTTATATAAGCCATCTTATAAAATAATTTAGAATTAGCCAGATTTTATATTTCATCTATATCATTATCTATTTAAAGTTATTCTGCTTGGTTTAGAAGGTATGTTGATTAATTTAGTAGCATGATAACACATTCAAAAAATATAGATTTACATATGGGATGGGAGGAAGTTGTTATTGAAAGTAATTAATCACAATTCTTATTACTTATTTTAATGATGATAAGTAAAAATTACTTATAGAGAGCATAAACGAAATATTATTTCTCTACATAAATAATATGGTAACCAAAAAGAAAGTAAGTTAGTAAAATCACTTTTTAATTGATTGTATTTATTTATGCTAGCTAATCTTAATTAAATTAAGCTTTTTCTTTGCTTAACATTCCAACTTAATTACTTACTTCTTTAAGACAATCTATAAATTAAATTTCTGTAAGATAATTATTCATAAGCCATTAACTGCTTAAAAATGATTTGTAATCATTATATTAGATAATAGGCAGTCTTTATTAAATCAACATTTAATTAATTAACTACAATAATAAGTACTTAAAGCAAATACATCATCAAATTATAAAATCAAAAAAAAAATCGTCAGCTGCAGGATTCGAACCTGCGCGGGTAAACCCAGTGGATTTCAAGTCCACCGCCTTAACCACTCGGCCAAACTGACTTAATTAATACTTAATATTTAAATAACTATATATTCAATGCTCTTCTATCATTAATTCTAATTCAAGTTTATGATCCTTAAGAAACTCAATAACTTCTATTTTATATTGCTTATTCTTATTATATTCAATCTATTCAATAAATCTATCTCCAAAGAATTATTTAATCAATTAATCAAAAATTAAATTTGGCAATACTATATCTTCTATATTTATTTGTTTATTATTTTTATATCCAACTATTTCAAATGCAATCTCTTCCTTCATTTTTAATTTTCCTTTTACTCTCAGATGATCCTATAATAAAATTATATTTGTATTACATTAGAGGGTTCTTAATAAAACTCTTCACAAAATACAATTTCAGAATCACAACTTCCTGTATAATTAAGAGATATAATTTCATAATTCCAATCATTACTGTTATCTCTATCAAATTTAGTCATCATTTTTATGTTGTTCAATTTAATATTGTCTTTAATGGAAAATAATTGAGGGAATACTTCAAAAGAATTTTACTGAATTTAATATTAGTTGAATATAGAGTAAAGGGATATCTAAAATAGCTAATTATATATATACATCAATTTATAATTAACTTTTCTCTATACAAATTGATTTTTCAGAGAATGCAAACCATAATTCAGAATCCTCATCTATAAATTTTAAAGAATGAAATAAATCTAATATTTCTTATTTGTATCCAAAATGAAGTCCAATAAGATGTATATTTTTAGTATTAATTAAGTATGCTTCATTACTTTTACAATATTTGCAAATTGAAACTTAATTGCAATCAATCTAATCTTATGGATATGGTCCAATTTTCATCTTTTTATTTAATTTTTCATTTGGATGAAAATCAAATAACTTATCATCTCTTTTTAAATCTTCAATCACTTTTCTCTAATGTTCATTTGGAATACCAAATACAATAGTATTCATAAGGCAAATATAAATGATAATCATAATGAATTGAAAATTATGCAACATCAATTTTTAAAGGATATCTCTCATAATAAAAATAAAAGTCTTAGTTGTATTTGAAAAAGAAAATGAACTTGAATAATTTAATATTAAATTAATTTAATTATTATAATTCAATTATTTTTAAATATCAATAAAGGTTTACAGATATTCAATAGTGATAATAAATCTTTTGATTATTATCTTTATATAAATATACTAATAATTAATAATAAAATTATGATTTAATGAATTACAAAAGACTTTTATTATAAAATATTATAATAATATAATTAAATAATTTTCTATGATAAAGATAGATGTAAAAGTCAAAGATGTCTATAATTTTAAGATTATGAATATTCGCATTATCGTTTATTAAAATTCCATTTGCATGTTTATTTGGTAATAGAAAGACAGGCTTTCATGTTTAAACCAGGAGTTGGTGGTAAACAAGAGATCTAATCACCTTCTTAGAGTGGTATGCATAATGATTATAATGGACTATAATATACAGGTACAGAATTAATTAATGCACATGCATTTACATTAACTAATAAATGTGTTGTTGGTGTTACAATTTAATTGGTTTCAGATATCTGAACACATTAGCCATTAAACCATTTACAAAATTGTCGAATTGTTGTAATTGATAAACAAGATAAATAACTTAATTTATCATTACAAATTTGGTTTTGATTTGGAATATATGGTTGACATGATCCAAATTCAACTTCAATAGGATCAGTGGATCTAATTATTTTAATTTGTTGCATATGAGTTTTCCATAAACATTTAGTTGTAGTTTGACTAATACATGCAATTTTATTTATATTATCTAAACATTCATCAGTAGTATGATTATATGATTAACATATTCCATCTTTAAATTGACACATTTAACCACTCCTTATTACATTAAGACATGCCCTTTAAGAACCATTAAGATTAGCAATATCACGACAAAGTTCATAAGCATTTGATTAATGATATTTACAAGAATCATTTTTCCAAACACAAGGTAGAATTTACACAGTTCTACATTAATATTCAGATTAAAGTTAATCACAAGAAGTTGGTTATAATATTTGAAGACAAGAGGATGTCTATAAATTAAAAACACAATTTGAATCAACAGATTGTAAACATGTTAATTTAGATGTATTATTTAAATTACAAGTAGTGATAGGAGCATCATATTTTATACATTGATTACCATTCCATTAACATTTTAATATATCCTATAATAAACAAGTATTCTTGTTAGGTGCTTTATTACAACAATCAAAAATAGTTTAATCACAATCAAACATAGGTTAAGTAGGACCATAACAAAAATCAGCAAATCTACATCTTAGATCTTATTTAGTGTTATTTAAACAGGCATATTCATTAAGACCTCGAATACAATCAAAATTATCTGTAGATAGTGATTCAATGCATCTATTCTCAAATTAATTATATCTACAAGGAATATCAGTAGGCTATTCACAAAAGTAAGGTGAATTAATATTTACTATAGTTTCACAATTTTATTATTTAAAATCATCTAAATTTTCAAGACTACATAATGAAGATGAGAAACGACAATATTATTCTGAAGTTGTAATAGAAATACATGCTAATTTGTTAGCAACTTATTAACATTAAAGAGTATCCAAATCTGTTGCCAATATACAATTATTATTGACTATTTTACATGGTTATAATTTCACATTTATACAATCAGAACCACCAGTACAACTAGCTGTAATTTCTAAACAAAATTAATCAAATTAACAAATAGGAACAGAATCACAAGCTATTTTATTAATGCCTCTAACACAAGCAGTTAATGGTTCAGCCACTATATCTATTTATTCACATTATTTAGTATAAGAATTAAATTTACAAGGAACATCATCTGCTTATTCACAGAATTCTTATCTATTTACATAACCAATACTTAAACAAGATTTCACAGTTATTTAAGAAGGTAATTTGTATTAACATTTGTAATTTTAATAAATACAATATTAAGTAGGATTTGTAATTTAAGAACAAGCAAATTGATTAACAGGTTAATCACAAGTTAAATCACTTAAAGATTATGGATCAACAATGATACATCCATCTGTTGTATATATTACTTAAGTGTTTGCAGTTTGATATTTCATACAGGCAGCTTAATTAAAAGAAACTACATTTGACCATGGTTCATCAGTATTCATAGCATCAGGAACTGATACACAAGTTTAAGTTGTTTTATCATATTTACATGCTACTGTTTCTGCAGCTGTACAAGTCATTGGATTTGTAGGAGTAAGATTATAACAATCAATGACTTATATTGGTTCTAATGAGATACATCCATTATCAAATTTGCAGTATTATTTTGGAGTCTTTATGAATAAACATTTATTTTTATTGGTTAAATGTTGACAATTCAAATTAGTTTCATATGTAACTATGCAAGTACTATTTAAATCATTAAATCTACAGAACTCTTATTAAGTATTCATTTAACAACCATATTAATTTAATCCATTTTAAGTACAGGAAAAGTTAGTATCATTAGATGTAATACATGAATGAGTTTCATTATCATACAGACAAGCAATTGTATTTGAAGATCTACTAGAGCAAGCTAGAGGTGAGACAATTATTCCTGCTAATGAAATACAAGTTTCAGAATCTCTTACTGATTAACATTTATTTTAATAAAATTTACATTTCAATTTAATAGAAGCACATGCATTCCAATTAAATGTAGGATCACAAATTTATGCTTTCATTAAATCAGATGTTGATAAATCTAGACATTGATTCTATGAATATTAACAAAGACTTTTTGTTTATTTTAAACAAGTAATCTCATTTAAACCTTTAGTATTACAACTATAAATAAATGGTTTATCTTAGTTTGCATCTACACAATAACCATCTATTTCATCATAAAATAATTAAAGAGTTTATCCTTCTAATTCTTAATATGCTTTACAGACTGATTGTGAATAAGGATATGACATTTTGGTTGTTAATTCTGCAATAGTAGTAAATGAACTCACATCATAATCTGAACATTCATTATTCTCAAATTTACATGTCAAACTCAAACTAAAACATGCAACCTTATTAATAGGTGATGTGCATAAAATATTTTGTAAATCTTTGATAGTTACACATTAACCATCAATAAATTAACAATATCCTGTAGAATATATAATACATCCTAAATAATTCATTCCAGTAGCTTCACATGTAGGTTTATCTTTAACTCCTATTGAATTACATCTTAAAGTTCTATCTCTAAAACATGGCAATCCAGTTATTTATTAACAAGATCTTGAATTGAATTTTACTAAATTCTTATTACTAATAAAAAATTCCGAACATTTGCTTATTGATGGTTTAGATTCAATTTCATAGCATTTTTGTTCTTCTTCAGACCAACCACATGAAACTTTACTCAAATTTAAACAACCAAATTTATTAGCTTTTGAACAATCCATACTATCTAATGGATAATCTTCACATTATTCATTTAACCATTAACAAGATTGTTAATTACTAATTATACATGCTTATTGATTTCCATTTTGTTTTCTAATTAAAGAACAATCTGAATATATATCTACTATTGAACATAATTTTGTTTATGGAGATACCCAACAAGCATTTTTTATTTTTGGACAGCCATAAGAATTTGTTAATGTACAATCAGTTAACAATTACACATCATCATCACTTTATTCTACACAATTCATTCCTGTCCAAGCACAATTCTTATCTGTTGTCATTGATAGACAACCATATTTATTAGTATTATCACATCCTTATTAAGCAACTAATAATGGATTACATTAATATGTTATTGAGTCATAAGCATATGCACCATTTAAGCAATAAATACAAGTCTACAAACTAACATATAATTAAGTTAATGAAGAACAATCTACTTGAGCTGCTGAAACACATAATTCATTTTGAAATGCACAAGGAAAGTTCATTTATGCACAAATTGATCTTTTTACAACAGCTTTGATAGTTAATTTATTAATATATTAGCATTGATAAAGATAGAATGGACTATCTTAATTAAATTAAGGAAGAGCAAACGTTTATTAACAATATCCTAAAGTAAAATCACATCCATTTGAAAGACAAGCATTATAACTAAATGTTTCATTGCATTTCTTCTTCTTTGTATCAGATGAACATTTTGTTCCATCATAATAACAATTATCACTAACTCTACTGCAAACAATAGGACTAACACTTCCTAAATCTTAAGCATCTTTACATTTATTAGGAGCAGTCTATTTACAAATTTATTCTTCTTTATTTGGAAAACCACTACATGTATTTATTTTAGGAAATTCTACACTTTTATCATTATCTATAATGCATGGAGCATTAGGATTTCTAGATTTCAAACAATTTGTTCCAATAATATTTTCACATGATAATATTTATTATTCATTATTTTCAATGTTATAACATCCTCCCATAGTAAGATCAAATACACATTAAGATGATAATTGTAAACAAACACCTTTGCTAAATATATTACGACAATCATCTGCTTTATAAACTATAGGTGTATCTTCACACCATTAAAATAATTATTCATATGTAAATCCATCTTTATTTGTAACCCATCTTAATTCTTATTTCCACTCTAAATCTTTTAATGCCATAATTTAGCAAGTATTGATATCTGAATCCCATTTGCAATATTTTTCTGCTCTACATTACTATATAAATTATTAATCTGGTTCTTTATCAGGATTACCTGATTTTTAGCATTATAATTCACCTAAATATTCTTGAAAATCATAATTAATAGAAGCACAAGATATTATATTAAATAGATAATCTGCTTATTAATCTCTAAGCTAGCTACATTTCATAGAATCATCAATTCTTATATATTTACATTCATAAGTTGATTTAACAAAATAACATGATTATGGAACTTCAGTACACATTTATAAACTAATCAAATAAGGTGATTCACAAGAAGTTTAAACTCCTAAAAATGTTTGACATCTCTTCTCAGCTATTTATGTTTTATCAAAATAACATTTCTAATACAATGTACTAAATAAACATGCGTCTACATTTAAAATCTATGTTCCATCACAAAATATATTAGGTTCTAATGGATCTGTTGGATTTGCTTAAGGTTTATATAAATCTGAGTCTGTAAGTTAGATGCATTTATTTAAATCCTTATCAAATCTAAAAGGAGCACCAAAAACTTATGCACATGCCTCAGCATTATAAAGATTATCAGGAGATATCATAGAAGCCATTGCACTTCTTACTTTTATGCATCTCATTTTAAGAAAATTCCATTCACATGGTTCTGAAACAATTTTTAAACATAATTCTTTACTTACATTATCTTCACATCCTAATTTATCAATTGGTTAATCATTTTCATAACAATACATTTCTTAATCATTCCATCTACAATCACCTTTTGTTTTCGAATAACATGCAATTGAATTACCATCTGTCAAATCACAATTATCAGATTCTGTAAGTATATCTACACATACATGATTGATTTCATCATAACCACATATTTATCCATCTAAATTAATATTCATACATGCCAATCTACTAACCTTACCTGTTAATGATCCAAAATATCCACATGATACTGATCTTGGTGCATCTATGCATTTATCAATTAAATAAGAAAAGAAACAACTTGCTTTTTAGATACGTACACATCCATATTCATTTAAATATTAATCACATTAATTTAAATTTGATGCATATTCAGCATCTACATTTTTACATTTTAATTCTTATTTATTCCATCTGCAATAAATATCTGTATATTTAACTTAACAAGCATTACTATTTAATTCTGTAGATTCACAATTTAATAAATCTATAATTGGTGGATCTGATATACAATGTTTATCTTAGTATCCAAAATATTTTACTGTATTTTGAGTTGATATCATAGCTTCAATAGATAAACATGCATATTTATTTAATATTTGTGTTGGTTCAGTAAATATATTTAAATTAGGAAATAAATTAAAATTGATATTGACACATAAATTACCATTAAAATAACAATGCTATTAAGTAGACCATTCAATCATATGACATGAATTTTTATTCATAGAAGAACATTTAAGCTATTAAGAATTGTAAAAATCCTTAACTTATTTTTCAACTGTGATATCTACAACATCCATAGTTAATTCTGTACATTTTAATTCATTGCTGAAATAACAATATTTACCTGTAGAAAATCTTCCACAAACATGAGAATTGATACCAATAAATTCAGTACAACAAGGAGTAGCACAAATTGCTTTAAATACATTACAATTACCACCTTCATAAATACAATATCCTTTCATTTTATCAATCAAAGGACCCCTAACAGCATCATATTCTGGTAATTCCATTTCTATTGAAGCACAAACATTAGGATTTATTAAAATACTCTTACCAGTATATGCTGAATTATAATCCAAACAACTTTCATTAAATGTAATAAATTAAGTTGAACATCTACTTTCCCTGAATAACCAAGTACACTTCTATCCAATTTTAGTTATTGATCTACATACATCAGGAGTAGGTGAACTATTAATACAATCAGAATTCAATAATAATTTTTCAGTCAACTTTCTAGTAAGATAATTTGCAGATATCACTTATATTTATTTACATTACCACATAATTTTATCATAATAACAACTTTTCAATTAAATTTAAGCACAAGCATAAGCATTTAATCCTGGATAAGTACAAGTCATGGATTCAGTATCTAAACTATTTACACATCCCTTAGCTTTTTGTTCATATCTACAAACCTCTTTGCCTGCATCAACTAAAGCACAAGCAGCAGGATTAACATATTACATTTATAAACAGAATACTTATGAAACATCTTATTTAGTTTTTATTTATTAACATTAGTTATTATACCATCTACATATTTGACCAATAGTTATTACTTAAGCACATGCAATTCTACTTAATCCCATACCTGTACATTATATTTGTTTAAGTAATTATTCATTAACTAATCTACACTATTAAGCATCAATATCAAAATAACATCCATCTTCATCTGATTTTAGTACTTAAGAACAAGCTACTTAATTAGCAAATCCTAAATCTAAACAACTTGTAATTTCTTAAGTTATTTATGCTACTAAACATCCACTATCAGTCCATTTACAAGCCATTCCTTAAATAGCAGTGCATCCATTTAAATTTAAATATGAAGTTGTACAATCATCACTATCTATACTCTTTTCACATAAAGATTTTTTTTTGTTGTATTTACATCTAACTCCAGGCTTTGATATAGCTCTACACACATTTCCATTATATTTTACATTCTTATCTACATTTTATATTGGACAATCTAAATCTTAATTTATAAATATAGTAACACACTCAAATCCTGTCCATTTACAAAATTAAAATTAAGTTGTTACATTAACACATGCATCCTCATTTAAATTATTACAAAGTATATGATTTAATTATTCATTTTCTAATCTCTTACATTAACCATCAATAAATTAACAATAATCATCTTTGACTTCTAAACAGCTTTCTTTACTCAATCCTAAATCTGAACAACTCTAATCCATTTTTTTTGGAATTATACATCTACCATCTTTATATTAACATAATCCTTTCTATTTAGCACAAACAGTAGGATTTACTTCAGTATAATCCTCACATTTCATAGTTTCCTTCAAAATTGCAACTTAGCATCTGTTTTTATACCATCTACACGTCAAATTTGCATTCTCTACAGATAAACATAATTCTTTATTTACAGAATCATTACATTCTGTCATTTCATTAGATTCATAACACATCATGTTTTTAAATATGCCTATTTTACTCATATAAGTTACATTTTTATCCAGTAATCCTAACACAAGTGTCTTCATTCAAACCAGGAGTATTACATTTTAAATATTAAATCTATTCATCCTTTACATTAATACAACCATAGTCTCCTTCAAATTAGCTACTCATACAATTTATTCCCTTTATTTTTTAACATAAACTAGCTGTGACTGGAGCCTTATAAACTTCAGAACAATATGCAATTTCTATTGTCCTACTTTAAGCCTCTTTACATTCATTTCCATTCCAAAAACAATCCTTTCCAATCACATTTGTACAAGAATTTCTTGAAAGCTATTATGAACATCCTAAATTCATTAAATGAGTTAGTTAAGCATCCATACATCGTTATCCAAAGTAACCTACAAATAACTTTAAATATTATACATCTTGCTTCACTACCATCACTATTAGTCAGTTAATTTAAACATGCCATTTTATTCAATTAAGGAATGCATCCAACATTTGTACTATGAATTGCTAAACATGCATTGTCAAAAACACTAAATTAACCTAAGTGATTAAATGCGAAAATTACACATTATGCCTTCGGTTTTGCTTATACAAGCTATAGGATCCATAGGATAGTAATTGCAAACCATGCATAAAGAGTTAGAAACAACTATCAAGTATAATACTACTTTTAAAAGCATTTTTAATATTGAAATCACTGTATATAATCTAGAAGATTTAAACTTATATTTTACTTTAATTATCTCAAGATAAGAATATTAAAATTTGAAAAATTAAATTATATTACTATTTTCTCTTTGAAGATATAATAATAATTCATTTCAATCTTATTATTTATTGCCATTCATTTTTATATCTAAAATTAAGTAACACTTATCAATACTATTTTTAGAAAAAGAACTCAGTACAATTTAATGAACTATCATAATACTTTTATAATGATAAAAATTTCAATTTATTATTAATTGATACCTTATAATAAAAAGTGAATCAAGTGTAAAATATGAACCTTTAATATTAATTTTCTATTAAATTTTAAATAACACCTTTATATCTTAAACTCTTATATTACACTCCTTTTTACTTAATATTTTATTTATAAATCATATTTCTTCCTTTTATTAATTTTATATATAACTTAATTTTATCAATCTTAATTCATTAGCTAATGATTATAATTATATATTAGAAGGATTATATTTATCAGTATAATATTAAAATTAACTAAAGAATATTATCTATAAATTTATTTATTATTCATAATTTATGATAATTAATTTATATGAGTACATAATATTTATGAAAGTCTGCTAAATTTTTTAATGTATTATTGAATTCTTAATATAATAAAATCTATTCTTATTATCAGAAATAGTCTTAATAATTTTTTTTAAACTGATTCTATTCATTTTACTTATGTGGAGCAATTTAATTAACTTTTTTCCAATAATTTATCATCATCATTTAGAAATCTAACTAGTTCTACTATCCAAATATTAGAGGTTAAGAAAATGAAAGAAAAGATAGCCGATTATATAAATAAACGATTTTTTTTTTGCATAATGATATTATTTTTATTATGCACAACGAGTTTTAATCTCATCGAGGCAAAAAATAGTTTAAAATTGAGTCATATTTATAAGGAAACATAATAAAAGCTAAAAAACTGAATAATAGTTTTCTATTTCACAATTCAAGAATGATTTCACTTTAAAATAATGGAATGTTTGTTTATTACAGTAAGTGTTTTAAATGGCCTACTAAATAATTTGATAAGCATAAGGAAAAACCAAAATCTGGGATATATTTTAACAATGTTTATTATTCATGTGTTAAAAATTCAGAACATGAGGTTGAACTGATCATAAAATTTAAGAAATCTCAGCTTTATCATTTTGAAAATATATATGAAAGTTATGTTAAGGAGCCAAGATGTTCAGATATAGTACTCTGGATTTTCATAATACCAATAAATAATATAGTAGATAATCAAAGGTTTCAACCAGTTAGAGAGATTGACAATCTTCATTCATTATTTACAATAAAAGTAGTTAATTATGATGAGAAGACTTAGAAAAGTATTTCATAACAAGTAAGGACTGAAAAAACTACAATCGAGTAAAGAATCAATAAAAAAGATTTCTAAAATAAAAAATAAGTATAATGGTTGGATTTACAACCAGAGAAACGAATTCATTAATAAAATTAATTACCTAATTTTACAATAAAGTATGAGTAATTAAGTTATGATGATTCATGGATAATAAATGAAGAGAATATCGATCTAAATATTAAAAATATGTAAATTAAAAGATCATCCTTACCATGTTTCATCTCTTTCAGAAAATATAATTGATAAACTTTATTTTTGTGAGTATATCTAATTAATTACTAAAATTCATGATTAAATAATATTTATTATTTATAAGTTATTTTTGATTATCTGAAATTCAATTTATTAATATTTATTAAATAATTTTATAGGATTATCTAGAATATTACGAAATCAAATAAGTTTATAAAATATTAATTCAAACGACTACATAAATTATATGATTAAAAGAATTAAATATATAATGAATAAATTAATTCTACAAATTTTTGTTGATCTAAATTAATACTTGGAGAAGTCGTATATCTCAAATTTCCTGATTATAAATTAAACTTTTATAATAATGCTATTAAACTAAAAAATAAAATTATTGCCAGATGTTCTATTTTCTAATTTCATAAATTTTATTCCAGTAGTTCCTAAAATGTTTTATGAATATTAAATGAATTGCTATCTTATTTGGATAGTAAATTGAATAAAAATTATATTTTCTAATAAATTAGAAAGAGTTTAGTTGCTATTTTATGATTTTAAATATTCTATTCAAAAAGAATTTAAGTTCATTGATAGAATTTATTATTGAGGATCTTTTTATTTTGAAAATTGATAAGAAAGAATTAACAAATTGAGAATGAAGTGGATTTTACTGGGATCTCTTTAAAATTATTTAAGTTCTACATTTGAATTGAGATTGAATAATAATCTATAATTAAAATGGGATAATAGCAGTCACAATAAAACAATTTTTTTTGGCCAACTAAGGGAGAAGTATAATTATGGACTCATTCATAAATAAAAGTTAATTTGTTATTTAATATTAGATAATATCAGAAGGTGAATCGAAGTTTTCTGAACAAAATAATGAATCTGTAATTATAAGTCCAATAGAATACTCTTTAAGTTGGATAACTAAATAAAATCAAATTCATTTTACTTCAATGAAAGTATCTAATGGACTTAAAGTGAAATTTGTAGTTGATCAAACCAATGGTAAACTTATAAGTAATTTATTCCTTAAAATTTAGAAACGGAATATACATAACTTGAGAAGTTTGAAAAATAAATAGATGAGGAACTACAACCATAGATAATGTGGAAATGCTGGGTTGAAATTTGGCTTAACTAAACTAAAAAGAATGATATTGTGCTTAATAGATAAGAAAGTTTAGAAAATGTTTAATTGGAGAGTGGTTTTGGATCTATTAATAATCCAGTTGTCAAAGTCTATAGAGAAAGAAGAGGATAAATATAACTTCTAACAAGACATTTGTGTTATACAAATTAGAATGATAATAAGAAATCAAACAAATACTAGATAAATATGTAATTTTGTAAGTCCTAATTTTGGATGTTCAATTGGGATCTTAAATAGAAAATAGTTCCTGATATTTATTTTTTGGAATTGTAAAATAAATTATCAACAGAAACTCTTTCTTTTAATCAATTAACACTAAATTGAAAATTTCTTAATATTTTATAAATAGAAATGATTATATATCAAATAATGTATGCTGTTTTAATTTAAATCCAATATTTATTACCTTGTTTAAATAAATATTCTATAATTTTATTCAGATATATTTTAATTCTTAGAAATATATAAAATTCTTGAAAGAACATGAAATTTTAATTAAATATTTCTTAATATAGAAATTGAATAAATAAATATAAAAAAAATATTGATTATTAAATTTTTTATATTTTAGAAATTGAAATGTCGTTATTAAAATGATAGTTTTTAGATATACTATAAATTAAATAGTTTACCAAAGAAATTATAAGATTGATTTTATAAATACAAAGACTATTATAAATGAATCATTTTTTCACTTTTTTTCTATTTTTATTTTTATCTAATAATCTTTGTATTTACTTTTAATCAACTTCCAATATACGCATCACAAGTTTATAATCATTATTATATGCTAATAATAAAGCCTCATATTAATAATCAGTAATTGTTGAAAATTATTTTTATAATTCTAAAAATGTATTGTAATGTTGATTATTTTTAATTGGTGGAGTTTTAGATTCTAAACTACTTAAACTCCATTCATCAAAATTTCTTTGAAAATCATATTCATCATTCATGAATTTAAAAACTAAACTAGCTGATAATGGTTGACTAAGATTAATTGAAGAAGAACTAGATTTCTCAGGTTCATATTATAAATATTTAGGTATTTAGGGAGGTTGTCTGGCTCTTTAAAATATTTATGGTTAAGCTTATGTTTTAGATTATTAATCATCATGACATGATAAATAATCATCTAAAAGTTGATCTTCAATATCATTTAAGCATATTACAGATTCATCAGAACTAATCACAATAACTGCATTGTTATTACTAACTTCTATAGCAATTGGCTCATTTATATTTGATATTTTCTCAATTTCTATTTATTGATTATTAATAGGTTCAATAATTTTTTTAGGTTCTTCTTTTGTTCTACAATCAATTAATGGAGCATTATTATTTCTTTTTTTAACACATCTGATTTTTTATGTTCTTTTTTAAATATTGATTAATTCATTCACAAATATTTGTTTATTTTGTGGATAATATTAATTCATAAGATTCAATCCTTCTAAAAAGTTAAGATCAAGTTTTTATGCTTTCCAAAAATTTTCAATTTATTCTTCTTACTTTTTAAGTGAGTCTATTTATTTTTTTCCTTTTTTCATTAGAAAAAATGAAATATTTATATTAAAAGATCATATTTTATTTGATAAATTCTTTAATACTCATTATATAATATATCATTACTATTATGCTTATTTTTATTATTGGTATTATTGCAAATCATATCTAATCTTCTATCCTAATAAATCTAATTCTCTTAAAAATAATTATTTAGATTCTCTAGCTCTTCTTGCTTATAAGAAATTCACAATAACTCTCTTTTATTTTGGACCCAACATAAACCAATTTTTAACATGTGATCTCAAAATTTCATCTTAAGGTATAGGTTTTGCAGCTTAAATTTATTCTTAAACAGTAGACTTAAATTATCTAATAACTTAATCCTCATTATTATTAATAGAATGTTTACTTCTGTCTTTCCTTCTGGAAGACTATCTCCTAATCTAACAATTGGTTTATTTTTATAATCATATTTCTCTTTTAAATACTATTTATAATTTTCTTTCTTATGTTTAATATTTAATGCTTCTTCAATATATGAAACATCATCTTTTCCTAATCTAAGATCTCTAACTTTAGCTCTTAAAAGATTTGTTGTTATTTCTGGTACTTCAATTTCTTATTTACTTATTTCTTATTGCTTTCATATAATATTAATAATATACTTAAGCTAAATATTATTCTGTTTTTTATTTAACATACTCATCTTCTAATTATCTTCTATATTTTTATCTAATGATTTCTCTCTCCTTAACAACTGTTTTTAATCTAGCCATTGATTTTTTAAGTTGTACAAGTTTTCCCATTCTACCTTTGACACCTACTACTTTTTTGAAAAAAATGCCATCTGATAATAATAAATTCTTTTCTTTCAACATTACATACCTTCAATCATTAATTTCAAAATGTACCATAATTTTGTTAAATCTTCTGTTGATTTTAATCTCAACTCTTCTACTTTCCAAGATCTTCCTTATGACACCTATTATTTAGTATCTTTCAATTATTATTTAGTCAATGCATCAGTGAATTATAACAATTTTTCACTTTAAGTTGCAGGAGCCTAAGCATTAAAATATCTAGTCTTAAATGCCAATTTATTCCATGTTTATAATAATATACGATTTATCATATATTGAAAATAAATAAAAAATATTATTTCAATTATTAAATATTTGTTTGTTTTGATATTTAATATATTCAAAAACATTTAGAATTACTTTAAAATTTGATATTTTTAATTATAAATGCCCAAAAACTAAATCAAATTTTTATTTTCTTAAGGAAAGCTTATCCAAAATACTCTAATAAAGGTAAATTAGTAGCATTAATAGAATCACAAATCTCAGGGCAACTATTTACTTCAAGAACTTATAATCCAAATCTTTTAGAATCTAATATATCTACACCACCTATTGTTATATTATCATCAATTGCTAAACATGCTTTCTCTGCAAGATCAAAATAAATATCTTTCTTTTCTGAATTCATTAATGATTCCACTGAAGCCTCTTCACTTAAACCAACTGATCTAAAATTCTATTTTATACTCTTTATTATATATTTACTTTACTAAACTTAAATTCAGCTACAGATGCAGCTTTACCTCCTATTACAAGTACTCTTACTGATTTTCCAGGACAATCATCTATATAAACTTAAGAAATTTATTGTTCTTATTTCCATAAAGCACGTGAATACATTTCTACACTATTATTTCTACAATGAGTTAAATGTACTCCTATTCCTGAATATCCATGAACATCTTTCATTATTGCTTCTTCATCAAATTATTATATAACTGATTTAAATGAATTTATTGAAAATGCAGTTCCAATTTTTGGAAAAGGTATTTTGTATTTAGAAAAGTTAATATATTATAGCAATTTATTGTAAAGGATATGTTCTGTTTCAGGTTTATGCAAAGTTATTCTTCCTGATGCATGAACTGCTTAGTTAATATATAAATAGTCAAGATAATGTTTAGGATTCATGTATCCATAAGCTAAGAATGCATCAAAATCTATTAGCTCGTTATTAATATAAAATTTAAATTCCTTTGAAAATAACAAAATTTTACATTTCCAACTGTGAAACTTATGTCCTATAGATTTACTCTTTAAACTTAAGCATTTTGCTATGTTAATTAATTTATTATAAGATCATCCATTTCTGCATAAAATATTGGGTCAGGATTGATCATATATAAAACTTTGGGTTATCTTACTATTATTTAGCATTACCATAGTACTTTAAAAAATGCATTTTATTACACTTCTTATCATATTATTTAATAAATAATAATCTCAATTTTAGGAAATTGGAAGGTTTTCATTTCGTATTTTACTTCAATAATTCAAATAGTGATATTTTAACTAAATACTAAAATTTTAAAGTTTTCCACTAAAATTGTAATTCATAAATCACACTAAATTTATTATAAAATGAAAATAATTGAACAATAAATAAAATAATTGTTAAACATTTCAATTTTAATAAATGATTGTCATTACCTAATAATAAATTAAGAAAATTTAATATTTTTGTTTATTTATAAATTATAAGTTTTTTTCAATAATATCTAATTTAAAGTAAAACTCTATTCTTGGGATTATCATGATAAAATCTTAATTAAAAATTGAATTTCAATATTTAAATTGAGGAAATATATAATCTAGATATTTATAATGAGAATTTAACTACAAAAAAATAAACAATACTTTAATATTTTATCAATTTTCATACACAATAAACTCTCTAGACTGTCTTAGTATCATAATAATAAATGATTAGTACCAAGGAAATAAAATAGTTACCATAACTGATCTTATATATTAATAATTATTTCCATAAAATACTATAAATTAAATTATAAAAATAGACATATTTTGAATATCTTTATGATAAGATATAAATTAAACAGTATTTGATGTATTTTTTAATAGAAAATTAAGAGTTACATTAAGAAATTATTGAATAATATATTAATTATTATAATAAAGTTAATAAACTCTGTTGAAATATCTATTAATAGCATCGCTTTTGCTATATTGAATGTTCAACCGAAAATTGTTGGAATTTTATTTAATATATGAATTATATTATGAATTTAGATTTTAAGCTAGATGATTTGGAAATATGATTCTAATTTAGATTAAAATAAATTAAATGGCAAAGCGATTATTTTAAGTAATAAGATAATATGATTAAGTATAATTATGTTATGGAATGTTATCAAATTAAATGATAATAATCTTTATTTAATATAGTTTTTAGTAAATCTGGCGGTTATTGTTTTTATCTAATATCGTTCAGATGTCTTTAGTTAGATAAATTATGTTTCATTTATTAAATTAATGTCAAATATGGATTTGGATTTTGAGTAGTTCTAACGATATATGCAATCAGAGAATACTCAATAATAGAAGCATGATCAAAAAGGCAATGATAAAGATAAAGATCGTGGACATGAAAAATATAAGGATAAACATTACAAAGATAACAATAGAGAAAGAGAGAGAGAAAGAGAAAGAGATAAAGATAAAGATAAAGAAAGAGAGAGAGATAAAAGTGCAGAGAAGAAGAAGAAAAAGAAGGATGAAAAAAAAGATAAAAAAAAGTATATTGATTATTATTACATAATATTAGAAGATCAAGGTCTGCTTCAAGATCATCAAAGAAAAAAAAAAGCAAAAAAGAGAAGGAAAGAGAAAAAGATAAGGATAAGGATAACTAATAATAAGTTATAACAACTTAATTACTTATGACAAGTGATATATAAAAAAAGAGGGAGATTGCAAAATAAAGAAAAATAGAAATTATGGAGGCAGAAATTAGAGAATTGGAAAGAAAAATTGTAGAAGTTGAAAGAGAATTAGAAGAAGCACATAGATAAGATTTAACAGTACTAATGTATTGTTTACCACTTAAAGCAAAAGAAAAACACATCTATTAGTTCTTTTAAACAGTAACATACTATTAAATTTGATTAGTTCAATTGTGGTAAAATAAGGGATATTAGAATTATTAGAGATTAGAAATCTGGAAGATCTAGAGGAGTAGCATATGTTGAATTTTATTAAGAAGAATCTATACCAATGGCATTAGCATTAAATGATCGTTTATTTATTATGGATGGATAATAAGTAGGAACTATTCCTGTTAAAATACAATTAAGTTAAGCAGAAAAAAATAGAGCTGCAAGAGATTAAAAAAATATGCAAATTAAATAAAATAAATTGCAAAACATTTAAGATTTATAAAATATGAATGGACCAGCTAGAGTATAAATCACAGGCATGGCAGAATAATTATAAAGAATTAATGAAGAAGATATCAGAGAAGCTTTTGCTCCATTTGGAACTATTGAAACAGTAGAAATTCCTAAAGATGAATCTGGTAGAATGACTGGAGTTTTATATGTTACATATGAAAAAGCAGAATCAGCAAGAAATATGATAGAAGTAATAAATAATTAACCATTTTTATTAAATGGAAAACCAATTAAAGTTTAATTAGTCTCTGGTGCCAATAATTATATGGATTTATAATTAGATGACGATCTTGTTTAAAATCCAGTGATGAGAATAACACTAATGAAAAAATTAATGGATGATAGTCTAATAGATAATGTATTAATAAAATAATCTTTAGATTAATTTACCTCCTTTAATGACATAATTAGGACTTACTGTATAAAGAATTTTGAATATAATCTAATCTCCTAATCCTACATTAGGTTGTATTTCTGGATGGATGCCACTTAAACACAATCCTCCAGCCTGTCCTTGCACTACAAAGGTTATTGTATTAACAAATATGTGGACTGATCTTGAGATTTCAAATTAGGCTGCTATTGTTGAATTAAAAGAAGAAGTTGAAAGTAATTCAATTTATAATAATTATTTTTATAGATGAATGTAAAAAGTATGGAGAAGTAGAAATGGTATGGGTAGACAAAAAAAATGAAGGTAATGTAATCGTTGTTTTTAAATAATGGGAAGCGGCTAAATAAGTAAATGTTTTAATGAACAACAGAAGATTTGGAAATAAAGTGGTGTAGAGTTATTTCATAACAGAGAGTCAATTCATGAGCATCATTAAATGATTTAGTAATATAAAATATTAATAAATGAATAAATAATAAACCATTCATTTCTTTAATTAACATATTTTAGAATTAAATCTTATTAATTTCATTTAGATTTTCCAAACACTTAAATGATTAATATATAATTATGAAAAGGTTTCTTTGTCTAAATTAAAGAGTTGCAAAACTAGATTAATCTTGATGTTATATTTATTATTATTATAATCTTAACATAATTATTGCATATGATCATAAAAATAATTAAATTTTAGTTAATGAGTGTATTTTTAATTTATAATTGAATGAAATAAGAATAATATACTTCTTGGCATAATACAAAGATAAGATGGTTTTTGTTGGCATTGACATGTTTGTTTTAAATTGGTTGTTCAATATGCATTGATTTTCCTTTTGTTTTATCAACAGAAATATAGAACAACTTCAATGTACATCAACAAGACATTAATTATCTTTATGCCATCTATTCTATGCCCAACATTCTATTGCCTTTTTTTGGAGGAATTATTATAGACAAAATTGGTATTAGAAGTGCATTACTTATTTTTTGTTCGTTTTTAATTNCTTATATGTTACATATGAAAAAGCAGAATCAGCAAGAAATATGATAGAAGTAATAAATAATTAACCATTTTTATTAAATGGAAAACCAATTAAAGTTTAATTAGTCTCTGGTGCCAATAATTATATGGATTTATAATTAGATGACGATCTTGTTTAAAATCCAGTGATGAGAATAACACTAATGAAAAAATTAATGGATGATAGTCTAATAGATAATGTATTAATAAAATAATCTTTAGATTAATTTACCTCCTTTAATGACATAATTAGGACTTACTGTATAAAGAATTTTGAATATAATCTAATCTCCTAATCCTACATTAGGTTGTATTTCTGGATGGATGCCACTTAAACACAATCCTCCAGCCTGTCCTTGCACTACAAAGGTTATTGTATTAACAAATATGTGGACTGATCTTGAGATTTCAAATTAGGCTGCTATTGTTGAATTAAAAGAAGAAGTTGAAAGTAATTCAATTTATAATAATTATTTTTATAGATGAATGTAAAAAGTATGGAGAAGTAGAAATGGTATGGGTAGACAAAAAAAATGAAGGTAATGTAATCGTTGTTTTTAAATAATGGGAAGCGGCTAAATAAGTAAATGTTTTAATGAACAACAGAAGATTTGGAAATAAAGTGGTGTAGAGTTATTTCATAACAGAGAGTCAATTCATGAGCATCATTAAATGATTTAGTAATATAAAATATTAATAAATGAATAAATAATAAACCATTCATTTCTTTAATTAACATATTTTAGAATTAAATCTTATTAATTTCATTTAGATTTTCCAAACACTTAAATGATTAATATATAATTATGAAAAGGTTTCTTTGTCTAAATTAAAGAGTTGCAAAACTAGATTAATCTTGATGTTATATTTATTATTATTATAATCTTAACATAATTATTGCATATGATCATAAAAATAATTAAATTTTAGTTAATGAGTGTATAGTGATATGATATCATCTTGTTCATATTTTTAATTTATAATTGAATGAAATAAGAATAATATACTTCTTGGCATAATACAAAGATAAGATGGTTTTTGTTGGCATTGACATGTTTGTTTTAAATTGGTTGTTCAATATGCATTGATTTTCCTTTTGTTTTATCAACAGAAATATAGAACAACTTCAATGTACATCAACAAGACATTAATTATCTTTATGCCATCTATTCTATGCCCAACATTCTATTGCCTTTTTTTGGAGGAATTATTATAGACAAAATTGGTATTAGAAGTGCATTACTTATTTTTTGTTCGTTTTTAATTATTGGTTAAAGTAAATTTTTATTTAATTTAGGTTTATGTGTATAAGGTGCTTAAACTAAAAATTTTAACTTGCTCAAATTTGGTATGTTCTTTTTAGGTGTTGGTGCTGAAGTTAGTTTGTTAGTCACTTAAAGCACTTTGCTAACTAAATGGTTTTTAGGAAAAGAAATTTCTTTAGCTTTTGGGTAAATTAATTAATTTTCTTAGGGTTTAACTGACTTTCATTAGAGTAGGATCAATAATTGCTGTTAATTAACTTCCCCAAATATATGTAAGTTATGGAAATAGTTTTGGAGCTTGTATGATTTATTGTTTGGCTATTATTTTAATTACCACAGTATCTTGCATAATTTAAACAATAATTGATTTTATAAGTGACAAAAGGGATTCAAATCATTATTAATCTTAAACATAATTATTATTAGAATAATAAAAACCAGTAAGTTGCAAGGATTTAAAAGAATTTAATTATGATTTCTATTTAATTTCTATTAGTTGTATGTGTGGATATTGCATTTTTTTAATATTATAATTAAATGCTCTTCGTATGTTTTAAATAAGGTTAATTTTTATAATAATTTTAGATATAATTTAACATTTTCCTATTAAACATTACTTTATAGTTTACCTTACATTATCTGTATTATTTTAACACCAATTATGGGTCATATAATAGATAAAGTAGGAAAAAGACCTTATTTTTTAATTGTTTCTGGGTGCTTGGCAACATCATCAATACTTGTTTATTCATTAAATGTTGATTGTTCAATATAGAATTAATGTTTGAATTATGTACTAGTAGCATAATTAATAAATGGATTGTTTTTTGCTTTATTTGCTCCTTTGATTTGGCCTTGTATTCCAATTTGTGTCAGCTCTAATACACAAGGAACTGGATTTGGAGTAGTTTGTTCTATGTAAAATGCTGGTCTAACTGTATTTCCAATAATTGTAGGTAGAATTCTACTTGATGAAAATCCTATAAATTATCAACATATGATATATTTTTTAGGATTTATTGCACTCTTAGCTAATATTAGCAATATTAATATATATTTTTATGACATATATCATGGTAATAAATTAATGTTACCAACAATTAAATTACCAGAATATGAGATTGTTCTTGAGTAAGAAGATGAATAAAAATGAAATATACATATACATATAAATATAAAATTTTTTAATTATATTAAGGATTAGTATCAAAATAATCTTGAGCCAATTTTTGTCAATCCACTCTATAAAATAAAATTCCTATTAAATTACATTTTCTTTAACATATCAGGCTTGAATTCTCTATTTATTTAATCAATCATTATGTTTAAAGTATTATAAATTTAATTATCATATATTGAATCATATATATTATAAAGTATTAAACATAGATTTATTATTTGATAATTTTATATTTAAAAGTTGTGATAGCACTATAACTTCTTTAATAGATTATCATAAATATATTTGACCACTTAAAATATATCTTATTATAATCTTAAATTTAATCAAGGAATTCTTAATCTACTGTCCACTTGATTTTATAATAAAATAAAAATATAAGTATGCTATTCTAAATAAACCAAAAAGATATAACCATTAATATCTATTAATTTACTTTTGATAGATGAACATCCAGTTATCATCTCAAATAAAATTAAAACTAAATCATTAACATTCATTAATTTAAGAAATCATAATTTAACATAGTGTATATATAGATATAATAAAAGTGTAAAAAAAGAAAATAATTTATTTTTTATATTAAATTTGATTATAAATATTTTCCCTCTACATCTATTCAGTTTAAATTTTAATTTTGTAAATTGTATAATATATTAAATGAATTAATCAAAATAATATTTAAAAAGAAAGAAAAATAAAAAGAATATAAATTTTTTATATGAAATAACAGAAATAAATTTCATGGCATCGCACAAAGGTTAGATGGTTATTTCTAGCTTTGACATGCTTATTTTAAGTTGGATGTTGCATTTGCATAGATTTTCCTTCAGTATTAGCAAGTTAAATCTAATCTACATTTAATGTTGGTCAAAAAGATATCAATTACTTATTCTCTATATATTCTATGCCTAATATAGTTTTACCCTTTTTTGGTGGAATAATAATAGATAAAATAGGAGTTAGAAGTGCATTGATTATTTTTTGTTCGTTTTTAGTAATTGGATAAGGTTATAAATATATTTATGACAAGGATTGTGTGTTTAAGGTGCTTAAGTTTAAGATTTTGGGTTACTAAAACTAGGAATGTTATTCTTAGGGTTAGGAGGAGAAGTTTGCTTAACAGTAGCTTAAAGTGCTATGCTTACAAAATGGTTTTTAGGATAAGAGATGTCTTTAGCTTTTGGGTATGATAAATATATAATTAGTGTATAAATTACATTCATTCGTGTTGGATCAGTAATTGGTGCTAATTGGTTACCAAAGGTGTATATTTAGAATGGTAATAGTTTTACTGCATGTATGATGTTTTGTTTTGCATTCATTATGATAACAATGCTAACTAGTTTTATTCAATGTATATTAGATAAAAGAAGTGATAAAAGAGATAGAGATTAGATGAGTTAACAAGAATTATCTGAATTAGAATAGCAACCACCTGTAAATTGTAGTGATGTAAAAGAATTTAAATTTGATTACTATTTATTGTCTATTAGTTGTGTATGTAGTTATAGTGCCTTTCTTATCTTATAATCTAATGGAATACGAATGTTTCAAATTAGGTGAAAATTATTTCTAATTTATAGATATAATTTAACTTTAACTTAATAAACTTTTCTTTATAGCTTACCTTACTTTATTAGTGCATCAGTGACACCAATAATTGGTTATTTTATAGATAAAATTGGGAAAAGACCAATATTTTTAATAGTATCTGGTAATTTATTATTATTGTCTACAATAATATATTCTACAAATGTAGATTGTGCAATTGAGGATCAATGTTTTAGCTTAGTGCTTTTGGCTTAATTAATTAATGGAATCTTTTTTGCTTTATATGCACCTGTAATTTGGCCATGTGTACCATTATGTGTCAATGCTAATTCATAAGGAACTGGATTTGGTATTATTGGTTCTATTTAAAATGCTGGTCTAACTGTATTTCCAATAATTGTAGGTAGAATTCTACAAATAGAAAATGCTGTAAACTATTAACATATGATTTAATTTCTTGGATTTATCACAATTATAGCTAATATTAGCAATATTAATATATATTTTTATGATATATATCATAGTAATAAATTAATGTTACCAACAATAAAATTACCAGAATATGAAGTAGTTGTGGAATAAGAAGAATAAAGCGATAATAATACTAGAATTGAATGATTAATAATGTTTATTCAGATGTTTATTATTTTTTTAAATATATAATCTATAATCTTATTAATCAACTTAACAAGATGATAATAAATCAAGAATATATTAATAATCATCAAAAGTAAAAATAAAAAAACATATTCTAGTAATCTTAAACAACCTGAAATTAAAATTCTCTAAGAATTTCTAAATAAAATTTATTAAATTAAATTGACTCTAAAATTATAAAATTTAGTGTAGATATTTTTTACTATTTAGGTTATATTTTTGAAAAAAAAAGGATAATTAATGAAATAACTTCTTACATATTCAAATGATATTTTTAACTTAATATAATAATCAATTTTTATAATTACTTTTTAAATATATTGGTTTCATTATTTCAAAAGTAATTAAGTTAGTTTTCAAATAATGAATTTTTACTCTTAATTAAACATTCTCGTTCTTTAAAAAATTAACTTGCATCTTTAAAGTTAAATTATAATTTATATTATTTCATATTGATAATAAATTTATAATAATAAATAGTATCACGTATTCTAATTATGACCTACTATTAATTGTTTTATATCGTTTTAAGAAACTCAATGAAAGCATAGTTTCAAATAATTTATGACTGAATAGTTGGAGAACCTTAGAAATTTCAATCATTACAAACTCAATACAAATGTTAAGGTTACTTTAGCTGAATACATTTGGATTGATGGAACTGGATTAGGCTTAAGATCAAAAACCAAGGTATACATAAAAGATTAATGAGTAGGTCTTTCATCATGAGATCAAATAACTTTCTGATCTTGAATGGTGGACTTATGATGGCTCTTCAACAGAATAAGCCAATACTAAATGGTCAGAAATCTATCTGAAGCCAGTTGTCTATGTTCGAGATCCTTTTCGAGGTGCTCCACATTTATTAGTATTATGTGAAACTTATCTTCCTGATAAAAAAACGCCAGCTAGATATAACTTTAGGTAAGATCTAGTTAAATCATTATAGATGGTTGGCATAGGAAATAATGGAAAAAGCAAAAGAACATAATCCTTGGTTTGGAATTGAATAAGAATATT